TTCTTGAATTCAAGCATTTTTTGAGAAAACTGCCAACATTTCCCCATCCATGGTTCACTTTCTAAAAAGTCCATTTATTTCTCTCTAGAATGATGTACAAATGAGCGTTCTTGCTCATTTTGCCTCCGAGATATGAGCAAAAACGGGACTGGAAACATGGAATTTTGGCATAATCTTCTAATATTCAAATTTCGCTTTCTGGGTCAAAACTACTCGAATTTCCTCATTAGCGTTGTTACGACCGAATGGACTTTTCAATTCTCTATCCAACGATGCCAAAACGAATTCTCTGCTCATTTTGCTTCTGAGAAACATGCAAAACGGGACGGAAAACATGAAATTTTGCAATAATCTTGCGCCCCCCTTGCACAAAACGACGATCACTTTTCTAATTTCATAAACACTGACTTTAAAGCTGGATCCGCCCCTGCTTTTAACACTCTATAAATACAAGAACACCTAATAACAAATTAGGCGTTAAAATTAACAAATATTAAACATTTAATAATTTGAAATAGACAAGTGCATATTTCGAAATGCGCCAACCTCAGGCACCCCCAGGACCGGTTTCCTATTAGCCCTCATCAGCTGGGTTCAGACTGAAATTAGAATTCAGACTGAAAAAAAAACCCAGCTGATGAGAGCTAATAGGCTCGAAACCGGTCCTGGGGGTGCCTGAGGTTGGCGCATTTCGAAATATGCACTTATTTAAAAAGCTTATGACGGCTCTGCTGAGGCGGAAAGTTTTTCATTGTTCATTCAATAATTTGTTTGAAAGCAGTGGTTATTGATTGAAAAGCGTGGGAACAAATAAATCATGAAGAGCCAATGCAAAGCGTAAAATAACACGAAATGTAGTGAACATATTGGATGCATTGCTTCCTAGAATTGCCACAGTTAGGAAACATGTGTAATTAATGCAAGGTGTGAAAATTGTTTTGAGTCGGCAATAATCCTTTTAAACTACGATTGCTGACCATTATTTTGAGTTCCTTACCCAAGATTGACTGCTATCCGCCCTTCTTGAAACCTCTTTGTATTCCAAAGCATTTTTCACTTGCACTTTCATTTTGCATTTTTCTGTTTATTTCTTTACACTTTGATATGATATATAAATATATAGCTAATAAAACACTATTGAGAAACATTCGGCAGCACGATACCAATTAAAGAAATCCATGTTTTCAGATGTTTCGCGATGATCAGATAAAAATAAACATTAAACAGAGTATTTAGAGCTTTTCCGGGCTGGTGTGAATTGAGCGTCAAACGGAAATGTTGAAGAAACTGAGTATAAACGGGGAACAACATGCAACGCGTGCTGGATAGAGCGCAGAGTTGCCGAGTTTTTCGATCGATTTTCCTAAATAACTTATAATCGCGGCATTTTCTTTTTCATTGCTACACATAACAATGTAAAAATGGTTAGCTGACATGAACTTAAGTGATACGTTTATAATACTGGGTAGCTGTAATATATGGGCCATGAAATAACTTGTAGATGTAAAAATATTAGGTAGTTTTTAAAGCAAATCACAGTATGTTGGTAAAATGGTATCTAGTTTTCATAGAGTGGGTTTTATTATTTTATACAGAGTACTTTACTCTACTTCTGCCAGTATAAAGAATACATTGGAGCAATACCGTTATGGGGGCATTTCAGTGAGGACCTCATGTGTATACAGAAGCAAAGAACATCCCCAGTCATATCTGGATTAATTTTTTAATATATTACTTAAATACTTGCTTAGTAGTGTATGGCCAAGTATTTCTTTTGGACACTTTCAAATGCAGCATACAACAAATAGAAGGGCTTGGCCTGAAAGTATTAGTGTTACGTTCATTTTTTTTTTAATGAACAGTTCACTTTATAATCTAAATTGTGTACATGCTAGATAACTAAGTTCAATATTATTGAACATAAGAACTCCTGAATATGGGAACTGCAAACGACAGGAAACAATGTTTTGCTTCAATTGAAGCCTTAAAAGACGCCGATTGTCGTCCTGCATCGAACTCATAAGACTGAATGGGATCATGCAGACGGGCGACAAAATTGTAGTAGCGACAGCTGAATTTGCTTACTTATGAATTGAAATTGTATCGAAATGGGATGGCAAAACACTACTTTTTGACTCATTGTGCAACCCTGTTCGTCGTGGCGATTGTTTTCCATTCTCCACCTACTCTATCTCTCCAGATAGTCGATCGAAAACAAACGTATAACGCTTGCGCCCACATTATTATTCAAGAGGGGATTCAATTGGGCAAACCTAGCAGATAGTGAGGCCACTCATAGATTATTAAATGATTTAGAAAAAATTCGAATCATCGAAAAGTCGATTCTAGTCCAGTACGCCCAACCTCTATATATAAAACCAAAATATTATCACAGTTTGAAAGTTTCTTGTAAAGGAATCAATGGTTTATTCGGAACCAAATCCACACTATCAGTAACTGATGCTTCTTGTATTGAATACTGGAACCCAAATTTCCATATCCGAAGCGGTTCTTTAGCGAAAAGCTGTAGATGAGCTTAATGAAAAAATGCAAAACCGCTCAAAATATTCCCAAAGTTTAAAAATGAACTACGAAAGCACCAATAACTGAATCGATAGCAAGTCCGCCCTACGAGACAGTTGAATATGGGACTAAAAGCATAGATAAAGATGACTAAAAGTTCTACATGTACTTTTACTTACTACAAACTTATTTGAAATCAGCAAAGCCAAGAGAGATAACTATAAAGAATCCATAAACCTTCAGTTGCTTGTCGGAAAACTAAACTCAGTTCAAGCTAAAATATTTTAGATTAGAAATCATTCTTACCAGCTTTCTGCCAGCTGGGGCCCCATCCTCTTTTGCTACCCATTATTCCTCAAAAAAACCTGGCTTGCACAAGCCAGTTTTATGCAAATGAACTGAACGAAAATTTGGCGTTTACGCACTCAGTTTCTTTCACACAGATGTGAAGTGAGGAACACCCAAATGTGTATTTGTTGTCAACCAGATGGAAAATTTGGGCGAAGCACACAGTGAAGTTGTTTTGCACATTTTGTGTTGTTGAAGAATGGATATGAGACGCCTAGAATTACAACAGCACTATTTCTATATTGAATGCGTTTGGCACACATTTAATGTAACTGAAGCTGGAGCACATGTATCTAAATACAGACTAAAATTTTTCACAAAAGCAGGTAATATTTTGGCATCGGATGGAGGCTGGCGCCAGCACCGAGACATTTTTTTTATTTGTTAGCAGTTTTCTGTCAGTATAGATTTTACTCAAGCCAAATTTTTCGGGTTACACAAACTTCAATCCTGCGTTTACACGCAACTATTTGCTTGTGCGATCGGTTTTGTGCAAGCCAGCCAAATGGCTTAAGAGTGTAAACGGATCTTAAGCCCTTAAGCCTCACAAATCGCAACATATAAACAAAAATAGTGCTGGTCAGATTAATGTTTTTTGCACCACACTAATTGCAGCTTGGGCACCAATTCCACATTTACTACAATAGCTAGAAGACAAATGATCTTCTATCATCAAGAATAAATTTCATAAACTTTTGCCAAACTTGACAGAATTGCAGTATTTTAAATTAGAAATCGTTGTGTCATTGATAGTAATTCCTAAAGCTTAATGATATTCAACTGTATCACGTCCTACGAAATTTATTTTCGTCAATGGTATATTATGTACCTACTTAAAAATTATAATTTGTCTTGCCTTATAGTAGGAACGTAATAGGACATTCTTCAAAAGTCAATAGTGAAAGTATTAATTTACAAGTCTATTATAATAATGAGCTGATTTCATTAAGAAACCCAGATAAGTGATGATATACATAAATTAAAAGAGTTTGCCAAAGTCTAGGATGAAATAATCGTTTCACAATGTTCAGATTTTGAAATGATCCCATTCAAATTTGTGGTTCAAAAACCAGATCTTTTACTTCATTAAGGTTTATGATTTTTTTCAGTATAAAATCGGAGAAGCGAATATTAAGAGTCAGTTCTGGTACATCTTCCACTTCAGCAGCAACATGAAGGTGGTAAGCAAATGATTATTAAAAAAAAAACATATACGTACAAAATTAATACATACATATTAGCGTATAAAAATAGTGTTTTTTCGGAAATGTTTTAAAAGCCTAAAACTTGGATGCAGCGGCGTATTTCCCGGATTCCGTTCTTATGATGCATAGGTGAACCTTTAACCGGCTAACTTTTAAAAATTGGGAACAAGAGAACCTTAAAAGATAGAAATGTGCTCTGTGCGACATTCAAAAGAGCCTCTATAAGCGTTTAAAGCTTGAACTGGGTGCAATTTTTGATAATTTCGAATTTGTTTTGCATAATCAAACCTCAAACCAAAAATTTTTCAAAAATTGATAGCCAGAGAACTCTCCTAATCGATACAATAACGCGCTTTTTACGGTATTCAAAAGAGCCGAAACGACTCTATCAAAGGCTTGAAGTGAATGCCAATTTTGCTACATTCGGTCTTAGTTTGCAAATGATGAGTTTGTAGAATCAAACTTCTAAGCGCAATTAAAAAAAAATCATAACAAGAGCTAAATCGATATAAAGCTGCGCTTTGCTGTCTTTCAGAGAGCCAAAACGACTCTATGGAAGTCTAGATCTTGAATTGCAAGCCAATTTTGCTACTTTCACTCTTAGTTTGCAAATGCCGAGTTTATATACCTAATCAAACCGCAAACCAAATAATTTTTCAAAATTGATATATATACAGGGTTATTCACGCTATACGGCACGGAAGTTTGCGGCTAAACCGTTTGATTTTTAAAAAGTATTATTTTATGAATTGTCCGACGCCT